CTCTTTTTGATGTTTTTGTATCTCTCATTTTGGGATAAATGCGTGTCTATTTATGGTCATTTGCTTCTCAATGGGTGCCTTGCTTTTCTTTTTAGAGGTTTTGCGTCTCTTTATTTAGTGTTTTGGTATCTCTTTTTGGATGTTTTGTGTCTTTGCATAGTATTTTATGTTTTTTGTCCTCATTGTATGTCCCTTTTGGGTTGTTTTTTTGTCAGTTTGTGGTAGTAATGGGTCCCCTTGGTGGTCATTCTTAACTTTTCATGAAAAAAAGTGCTTGCAGTAACTTCTAACAGATACTCAGGAGGCCTGTTCAGTAATCTGTTTAGGTTTTAGAAGCCCTCAGTGTGGCACATGTGATAACAATATACCGGCTCTTCAGAGAGCAGGTGTCTTACATAACTCTTTTTGGGCAGGAGTCAGTCATCAGCATGACTTTGCATTTTCTTAAGCTGGTCTCCAGTTGGTCTCCACATCTGGATCTTGTTTTGACCCCATGATAGAGTATAGGCATGCATGGGGCGGGGAAAGGCAGTTCTCAAAAACAGGGTGCTCATTGGTTGATCCTATAACAAGGGGTGTAACACAGACTGGAGGTTTTTAGATGTGAAGAATCATATGGAGCCGCTCATAAATCAAAACTCCTGCTTGGTAGCGCATTGTGAAGTTGCAACGTCATTCAGATCATAAGATGATAGTAGCATCAGCAGTGCACCCTAACTTAGAACATATACTGAAGTAGTTTACTTGAGAATAATTTTGAAGTTTAACTTTACTTGACTATTTCTATGTTATGCTACTTCTTCGTCTTCTGGGATCAGACTCACAAGTTACCCAGCGGTTTTTAAAGTCATAATGTAAAAACAAACTCCTCCTTTATCGGTAACAATTAAAAGTGTTGAACCAAACAAGCAGTCAATAATTATAATGCAATACTTTAACATACGTTATTCTGAAATGGGGTGTATAAGAGTATTTCTACACTTTGGTATCACTATTTACTTAATTACTATATCTGAGTACTTCCTCCACATAGGGTAACAACTGAGCAACAGTTCAGAAGTGACTGATATTTGAACCTCTTCATCTCTGATTCTTAAACCATCAGGTATCAAAGAAACCTTCTGTTTCACCGCTTCTGGTCAGTGGATGACAAGCAGCTTCAGACAGAGTTCAGCGCCCTGCGCTCCATTGTTGTGGCGAACTACGAGGAGACTGTGAAGATGCCCATCAACGAGCCTGCCATGGGGAAGAGAAAGTCTCAGATCCAGGCATGTTTGGCTCACTTCAGCAAATATGTGGTCTTAAACTGTTTACTTGCACATGAATGATTAAATAACTTGTATATTTCTCCAAATGTTGACTCACAGGAGTATGTGGAGTACTATGGAGGTCCAGGCGTGCAGCATATAGCCATGAACACGTCAGATATCATCACTGCGGTAAGATTAAAGGACACTTTGGCTTTGTGTGTGGACGCATCCCGAAAGAAGCAACAATAACTTTCTGATTAATTTCAATTTGCAGATTCGTAACCTAAAGGAGCGTGGGATGGAGTTTATGTTCGTGCCAGACACATACTACAAACAGCTGAGAGAGAACCTGAAACAATCAAAGGTCAAAGTCTCAGAGGACCTGGATGTCCTGCAGGTCAGAACTCAATTATGTTCAACAAGTTTGGAGAACTGAATGAACTTTATGATATTATGTTTGGTCCAGCCAATGGTTATACACTGAACAAAAATATAAATGCAACACTTTTGTTTTTGCTCCCATTTTTCATGAGATGAACTCAAAGATCTAAAACATTTTCTATATACACAAAATAACCATTTCTCTCAAATATTGTTCACAAATCTGAAAAAATCTGTGATAGTGAGCACTTCTCCTTTGCCGAGATAATCCATCCCACCTCACAGGTGTGGCATATCAAGATGCTGATTAGACAGCATGATTATTGCACAGGTGTGCCTTAGGCTGGCCACAATAAAAGGCCACTCTGAAACGTGCAGTTTTGCTTTATTGGGGGGGGTCTGGGGGGGTCTGAAAACCAGTCAGTATCTGGTGTGACCACCATTTGCCTCACGCAGTGCAACACATCTCCTTCGCATAGAGTTGATCAGGTTGTTGATTGTGGCCTGTGGAATGTTGGTCCACTCCTCTTCAATGGCTGTGCCAAGTTGCTGGATATTGGCAGGAACTGGAACACGCTGTCGTATACGCCGATCCAGAGCATCCCAAACATGCTCAATGGGTGACATGTCCGGTGAGTATGCTGGCCATGCAAGAACTGGGATGTTTTCAGCCTCCAGGAATTGTGTACAGATCCTTGCAACATGGGGCCGTGCATTATCATGCTGCAACATGAGGTGATGGTCGTGGATGAATGGCACAACAATGGGCCTCAGGATCTCGTCACGGTATCTCTGTGCATTCACAATGCCATCAATAAAATGCACCTGTGTTCGTCGTCCATAACATACGCCTGCCCATACCATAACTCCACCACCACCATGGGCCACTCGATTCACAACATTGACATCAGAAAACCGCTCACCCACATGACGTCACACACGCTGTCTGCCATCTGCCCTGAACAGTGAAAACCGGGATTCATCCGTGAAGAGAACACCTCTCCAACGTGCCAGACGCCATCGAATGTAAGCATTTGCCCACTCAAGTCGGTTACGAGGACGAACCGGAGTCAGGTCGAGACCCCGATGAGGACGACGAGCATGCAGATGAGCTTCCCTGAGACGGTTTCTGACAGTTTGTGCAGAAATGTGGTTATGCAAACCGATTGTTGTAGCAGCTGTCCGAGTGGCTGGTCTCAGACGATCTTGGAGGTGAACATGCTGGATGTGGAGGTCCTGGGCTGGTGTGGTTACACGTGGTCTGCGGTTGTGAGGCCGGTTGGATGTACTGCCAAATTCTCTGAAACGCCTTTGGAGACAGCTTATGGTAGAGAAATGAACATTCAATTCACGGGCAACAGCTCTGGTGGACATTCCTGCTGTCAGCATGCCAATTGCACGCTCCCTCAAAACTTGCGACATCTGTGGCATTGTGCTGTGTGATAAAACTGAACATTTTAGAGTGGCCTTTTATTGTGGCCAGCCTTTTTTCAGATTTGTGAACAATATTTGAGAGAAATGGTTATTTTGTGTATATAGAAAATGTTTTAGATCTTTGAGTTCATCTCATGAAAAATGGGAGCAAAAACAAAAGTGTTGCATTTATATTTTTGTTCAGTGTACATACTGTATTATGTATGACAGGATTGAATGTCAGGGGTCAAAAAGTATCATTCAATATGATCAATTAGTCCTGACTATCTATAAACAACTGTAATTAGGGTGTAGACTACAAAGATAGGAATTGGAAATACCTAAACATTTAAATTAAACATTTTTGCACAAGGGTGAATTTTAAATGTAATTTTGGATGGTGCTGACAGATAAACAATGCAAAGCAAATACGTTTCTATATAAAGGTTTAATAGAACCATGTTGGGACATGTTTATGTGTTGCTTTAGGGTAATACAATACTTGTTTCACAGCTTAAACAATGTTTTTCCTAAATAATTGGTTAGGCAAAATGCATTCATACAAAAATGAAATACATCTTATTTGTTTAAGAGAAGGAAACATATGATTTTAGATTGGTATTGGCTGATACTATAATAGGTTTGCTGTGTAGGACATTAGCAAAGTGTCATTGAGCCTTCTCTAATATGTATGGCCATATTTAGTTTTCTCATCTTTATAGACTCATGGCTGTGAGTGTCAATTATCCAGCCTTGCCAAAACAAAATGGATAAATGAATTACAATTCACAATGTGATCTTGTGATCTTACTCACATCAGGAGCTGAGGATCTTGGTGGACTTTGACGAAAACGGCTACTTACTTCAGATCTTCACCAAGCCAGTTCAGGATCGGCCCACTGTGTTCTTGGAGGTCATTCAGAGACACAACCACCAGGTGAGGGCGCCACTGGATAAACAACAACTTTATAAGGATGAAGAGAATATAAAGCACATATTTCTCGAATTTTTACGGAATAAGATAAGGACCACATTTTTTCAGCCTACTGGTTAAAAAAATGTATTTGACTTGTGAGTTAAAAGTCACAGTTATTTATTAAACTAAGTATTTTTTTAAGCCAATTCTGAAGTTTATCTCAGACCTTTTTCAATTGCGGCCCTAATTCTTTGTGCACAATATCTGTGTTAGAAACAGGATTCATTAAGTTACTTAATCAATAACTTAAACACATGATTTTCCCACAGGGCTTTGGTGCAGGAAACTTCAAGTCTCTGTTTGAAGCCATCGAAGCGGACCAGAATGCAAGAGGAAATCTGACGATCCTGACACCAAACGGAGTTTCAAAGAACATCTGATCCTAGTTTTATTAAAGTAGACATTTCAGTTTCAATATCTCTTTACTATGAGAGGCCATTTTTTGTTTAGAGTCCTGTACTTTAGTATTAAACTACTATTGTGCAATAATGAACAAAGCATGTTTTTGTGACTTGCATGTTTTATTATGATAACATAATAACATTTATTGTACATGTGATAAGCATGTTTCAAAAAGTACTTTATTATAATCTCTCCAGATTTTCATGAAAGATCAACTAATTGTAACTTTATCACCATGTAAGGCTTTCTTTTTATCAAATGTTAACAAGGAAATCCATATAAGCTTGACTCAAGCAAAACACAATTAAGCTCTCATAAATGAAAACAAGTAATTGTACAGATTGTTATCATCTTGGCAATAACTTTAAAAGTAATTTCAATGTAACAGAAGAGCTTTGTATAATTGGAGCAGCCATCTTCCCCTTTATGTTGCAAGAGGAAACATTTGCAATGTGTGAAACTGTGGGTTGTGATGTGTTCATAAACTGTAATGTGCAAACAAATGAAGTGTTTTGTAATGTTTTACCAGATAATGAGGAAGTTGTAAGTGCTCCTGTACTCAAGCACTGATTAGAAGGTTTAAATAAATCATTATTTACTGAGCAGTACCTCCACATGTCTGCAGAGCATTCATAAGTTCCTGTTTGGCGTTAAGGCAGTCATTGGTAGAATAAATCAGCATGAAAATAATCTTCAGGGTCTGTGTGTGGATTGTACAGTACCTCAGGCAACTTTGGCTCTTGACATAAATCTGAACACTTCATTAGAGATTAGTTCAAGGTGCCCCGGCAACCATCTGCTCCACACAAGCAAGGGATCTTTGTGTCCTCGATGGGAAACTTGTAGTCGTACGTGATCTCTTCATTGACACCTATTGGCTGCCGGGAGTAAATCACTATCTTCTTCCTGGACTCCACAGAGATGATCTTTGCATAACAGTTAGGCTGCAAGAGAAAAAAGGTATTTTGCATGAATGACCTTACTAAACAAATTGTTACCTTAAGGATTTCTGCAGGTTTCAACAAGATTACTTTAAGACTTTTTAAGACACTATTACAATTTCTTTTGAAGATTATTTGCAGTTACCACAACAGAAGAGCATATTTAAGATATTTGTATTCCCTATAATTACAGACCACTAACTTTTAGGCTTTTAAAGGACCAGCAGAAACCCTATGAACCCATTTAAAGGGACTCTATTATGCTCATCTTCAGGTTCATATTTCCATTTTGTGCCTCTACTGTGACATGTTTACATGCTTTGATGTTCAAAAAGGTCTTTATTTTTCACATACTGTGCTGCAGCACCTCTTTTCACCCTCTGTCTGATTGGTTTGCTGGCCGGGTCTGTTGTGGTTGGAGATGTCCTGTCCCTAAGCCTATCACGTACAATGTGTCGGAGTGTTAGCCAACAGAAGCGCCAGTGTTATATGCAGGGCCGGCCCTTGGCATAGGCAGTATAGGCGAATGCTAAGGGGGCATCAATCTATGGGGGGCGCCGAAAATTGAAAACAAAACAAAAAGAAAAAAAATGTATTTCATAATGTTGGAGAAATGAAAGCTTTAGCGCAAGTTCAATAAGGAAGACCTAACACGAGTCACTTACACGTCACTCTATGGCTCCCTTCCCCCCTCATTAAATACGAGGGCGTCACCCCTCAGCAGCCAATCGCTGCACATGCTAAATTCCTTAAATGCCTGCTCTTCCTCCCTGTCAGTTGTCATTGCAGATGATCACACGCAACCCGCCTCCACCCCTCTCGCCTCACGTCTCCTCCAGGACAAAGCTAAACCTTCCCCCTTCAGACCGGTCTCACCTACTCATCACCACCACCAGTGTCTAGACCCCGGGGATTTCATCGGAGCGGTTCTTTCCCTCCTGAATGATTATCCTGCAAACCGGGGCCTAATCGCCAAACACCATTACATACTCCTGTTGTATTATCGTGGCAATCATTTCATTTATATGACGTGTAAACAATAAATATGTAATTCTTACATCACGTCTCTCCGGTTTGAAATACTGTTTTCTCCACTCTTTGAGTTGCATTGATACTGTGGGTGACTCTGAACTGTGTATGACCTTGCAGCTGCCCCTTCTTGTGATAGGAGGAGGCAGGGCATTTCATGTTGTTGATATTTATGAGAAGACAGACTTGCTGTCTCCTAAATATCTCTTGTCTATGAGGCGTGAAGGAAGTATGTGACTCTTTCCAGAAGACGTCGCAGATGATCCTGACACCTTTCCGACACATTTTTTATTTCAAATAAATCGAACTCCCAAAAAACGTATACAGCTTTTATTAACATTGGAATTTACTGTGTAAGCGGCCGCAGGGGGGAGAGCTTTAGAGAGCTCTCTCCTGAAAGACTGAGAGGCTCTGATAACCTCAGCTCAGTGAGGTAAAGGCACACCTTTATATGATCATTATAGTTATAAAAAAATAAGAGAATAGATTTTCATCTATTCTCTTATAGTATAAAATACTATATGACAGTAAAACAAGTTGTTATTAATAAACAAGAATACAGTTTAAAAGGGGAGTGATTTGTAAAATATCCATAAATAAAAAGAAAATCTGTTTACAGTTCTGTTTCATATGGGTGTCGAGAGATGTAGCCATAGATCTTTTCGCTTTTAACTTCAATATTAAAAAACAAAATCTTCCTGGGGGATAGGATACAAAATACATTTGCACACATCTTGTGTCCATATCTTTCTTTAAAGTTATCTGGTCATACCACAACCGTGCACGTGAATGCATGCGCGAGTCATAGTGAGTGTCTGCATTTTGGGAGGGGCGCCAGCTAAAATCTTGCCTAGGGCAGCAAATTGGTCAGGGCCGGCCCTGGTTACATGGTGATGTCACTATTACAGAAGTAAACCAAGGAGTAAAATGGAGGCGTTTCAGGCAGGCGGTGATTGTGTGGGAGAGAAAACTCCCTTCGGAGGTTACCACAAAAACCGAAATAACAAACAACAGGAAAGGGAAAAACAAAAAAAGCATAATAGAGCCTCTTCAATCTTCAACCCCATGGAGTTATACTGGCTCGTACTCACATTGCAGCTGTGGTTGATAAACCTGGATAAGTTCCCATATTTAGTGGCATCAATGATGGTCTCCTGATCAACCCGGAACAAGTAGCTGCTGCCAATGCCCTCCTCCTCGTACCTCTGCTCCCTCATGTCAGCGATGATCTAAGGAGAGTGAAAACACATGAGCCTTTTCACGAGTGTTCTTAATCACCGTTACTGTCAGTCCTCACACTCCTGGAAAGTACCCAGAATAACAGGCGGGTCCCAGGGGGCCACTGGGCCGATTCAGGGGAAACAATCAGGGGAAAAACGGCTCTCTTGAAGGCTCGACAGAGACATTTGTTACCAAGGGAGCATTATGAGCACATGATTAGCTAGTCTCACCTGTCTGATGATCTGGCCCACATACTCGATCACCATCTCATCTGCTGTGATCGGCTCCATTGCAAACAGGCCCCAATCATGAATATGACTCCGGCTGAAACGAATCCTCTTCCTTCGGAACTGATTTATTGAGCATGACAAAATGAGACACGTGCCATTCGTTAACACAGGCCCCACATCTGCATTCAGGTCATTCAAACGACTTTGTTCAACCTCAGGTAAAAAAAACATCACCACAACAAAGTCTGTTCATCTGGGCAAATACGCTACTGTTGAGTTTGTTAGTTTTTTTCTAATATCTCAGGCGTAGACTTTTCCTTGTTTTGAGCAAAATCACATTAAAAAACACATTCACAAATAGTGTGTAAAGTGAATTGGTGTGGTAGTAGCTATCTCAACTGTGGAAACATCTTGAAACATCTGCAATGAAACTATCTATATCAAAGTCCTACAACTGGTCAGGTACGAACAAATTGTACATACAGTACGTTTCTCACTATTCTGGCACCTTGCACAGCCAGTAGAAGATACTTTGTTTACTTTATATATATATATATATACATTTTATTTATTCACATGTCAATATAAGCATATGGGGAAATGCTGTTACAAAGTTACATATAAACACAAACAGTGCCTGATTTAATCAAATGTATATTCAACAGACCTCGGTTGTGACACTGATCAAAGACTATTCAATTGTTTTCTTTGTATTTAGACTAAAATATGCTAATAGTTACTACACGTACATTTTTATAAAATGATTTTGGCATCAAGGTTTTCCCAACTGATTTTGTCTGAACCTTTAATGTACTTACCTTCAGCTGGTTGAACTTGACTAGGTCACTATCACAGCTGAAAGAGGAGAGCAGGCGACGCTGTTCAGACCTGAAGTCAGATCCGGCTCGCAGTGAGGTCTGTTGCTGGGCAGGGATGCTCGTTCCCTGAAACACATGTTGACATTAAGCATTGACTCTAATAAACTGGGCAATGAGATCATCACAGTTTCCTCTGGTTGATACCTGAGTGCTTGTAGATGGAAGCTCAGGATTCAGCTTTGTGTGGTTGAGGTATTTCATTTTGTCTTTCTTGCTGATTTTGTAGAATCCTTCAGAGCGAGCAGAGCCGGTCCTGTGATTGGGCCACCAGGATCTGTGCTCCTCACTCTGCTCTGTGATGACTTTAGTCAGTGAGCAGTGTTTAAGGAGGTCAATCAGAGAATAAAATGCACTATATTGTGTATCAGGCAAATAAAGTTATCTTAATATATTATTAGTTTGTAAATGAATGTTTCAATAGCAAACATTGGAAGGGATTTGCAACAGTCCTTTACACCCGAGTAGAAGCTTCATTCACAAAGTTACATTTCAAAATCAACATTTGAATGCTGCTGAGCATTGTTTTTTTCGATTCAAATATATACATACTATTATGGAATTCATTTGTGTATGCTACAGTTTCCCATTGATATTGAGATAATCACACCAATTCATACAATATAAGTTACTTAGTTCAGCGACTGTAAACAAGAGTTACAATTAGTAGACTAATCAATTAAGTGTATGTAGTGTTATTAAGTGTTCATCTTTTGGTTTTAGACTGGTAACTTATGAAACTGGGAGACATTTTTCACAATTTTCTTACATCTTATAAACCCAGTGATAATAATAATTGGCTGATTAACTGATAATAAAAAATATTTTAGATGCAATCCTAAAGTAACTCAATTGGATGTTATTCAATTTCAACATTAAAGTTGGTTAAAAAGGATATAAGTGTGAGGTATCCACAGAGTGTCACTGATCCACCCGAAGCCATTATCCCGTGCCTGCAGCCTGTCGTATGTCCGCTGCAGCAGCCTGGCGTCTTCTTCATCCAGACCCTCCTTCCAAACACTATGAAGTATCCTCCTCTCCTCAGAGAGAGAGCGCCACCTGTCAGAAGCGATGTTAGAGGGGAGAGAACCAGTGTTTCTTTTAAGAAGTCTTCTCCGATGAAGAATTCTCCACCTCCTCTTTCGCTTCCTCCACTCCTTTCTCCTTAATAAGGATTTGTCCGTCTCTCTACTATTCTCCTCATCCCGGAGCCCAGGCATATTCTCCAGGCCCTGCAAAGGCCTCATTCTCACACCTGAACTGACCCACATGCTTTTCCCTTGAGCGGAGTCAGAAGAAGACTCAGAGGAGCTGCATGGTGAGGACACTGAGATGGGGGAGCCTCCGAGAGAATCGTAAAACATTGGCTGTAAGTTTGTCACCATTTTTCTCTTGTGGACTATGGATCTCCGGGGTAGGATGATGTCCCTCCCAGGAGTCTTTGGGGCTGTGATATACGGATTGCTAGAAAGGGGGCTGCTAAGATGGGGGCACATCACTGTGTTACCTTCTGACGAGGTGGTCTCTCTGCCTGGTGTAGCTGGAGCTCTCACAGAGCTGTACTGAGTCCATGATCGTCTATCCTCGCGACCAGGCGTTTTGGGCATATCCTGGTATAAAGGGTACAAAGCAAGTGGAGAAAAAACGACCTCGGTGGCTGTTGGAGAAAGCACTTCATTGGTAGATTCCTCACTTTCCAGTTCGGCCACTATGCCCTTGCCTGGTGTTTGGGGTCGTTCTTCCTCCACAGCGGGGGATGTGGGTTTGCTCCTCATCAGAAGGTCAGGGTCGCTGTCCACCAGGCAGCCAGTGGGAGTCAGAGGCCTCAGGTTTTCTCTGTTCCCCGTTGACATCCACTGAGGGCTCTCCATCTCTACGTCAAGATGTTGGCCCACTGCTACACAAGTATAACAATACAATATTAGAAAAACATATTTTCACCAACATTTCCTTGGAACAAATTTCTAAAAAGGGCCCAATGGGAAAAGGCACAAGACGTACAGGGGACCATTTTCTGACGCGCAGGGTCCCTTGGACGCTTTGTTTAAAAGTCACATTTCTTGTTGGGAAGTCCACCAAACCACAGAGACACACAGAAGGACCTCAAAAAGAAGCAAAACAACCAAAGACAGACACTATAAAGAGAAAATCACCAGGAAGAGAAACACTTTACCAAAAGGTGAAGCAGAAAGAAAGGGATGCAAAATGACCACAGAGAGACAAACAACACTCAAACTGTTCAACCTGGGAGTCCTAAAGGTGAGAGGGGCTGTAGATGGTCCGGGGGTTCGCTGGTTTGGAGCTCCATCATGTCCTCCAGACAGCACGGGAACTGGTTCTCCTCTCTTTTCTCCCAGTGATATGGATCTGGCCATTCCTGCAGCTCCAGCTCCAGCTTGGCACCAGGGGTCAGCGGGGCCGAGGGGGTGGCGGGGGGCTCAAGCTCCATCGACTCTTCATCTGACGATATGAAGATACACTCAACTCTTCTGTCGCCCTCCTCCTCCATGTCTTCATCTTCAGGACTGAGTTCAGAGTAGGACGAGTCCTCGAAGCTCTCAGAGGAGAACGAGTCTGAGGAGTCGAAGTCTGACGAGAACTCATTGTCCTCTGAAGTGCTGCTCTCTGAGAAAGTCTCTATAGTTGAACAAAATGAACCACAAATATTTAAACATGTTTTAAACATTTAAACATATTTAAACATTCAATGTTACAACTGTATGATATTTAACGTACCGCTATCCAAGCTCGCCACTGCTTCACTAGCTTGGAAGATGACTGCATCTTCATCTTCTGTGTGTTTCTGTGTGGACTCCTTCTCTTCCTCAGGATGATTGCTGTCATCATCATCATCATCATCATCATCATCATCATCATCTCTGTCACACTACAGTAGAGCACAAGTTCAATTATCCATTCTTTCACACTTTAAAGTTGACAGCACATGTATAACTTTGATAGATTTTAGTTGTAAGGGGAATATGAACAACCTCTAAATTTGTTGTGACCCCTGACTGCATATTTCCAGCTGTTTATCGAAATTCATGTAAGATATTTATTTCAAGTTAGGATTCAATCAACTTGATAGCAAAATGCTCAAATAAAAACTAACAACTGGCTTTAAAGTCTTGGCTTTTCTTTTTGCAATTTCACTATAAGTTTCGGAGCAAAATGTATATTTACCAGGATTTGAGGATCATCATGAACTGGCACAACCGCCTCCAATTTATCAGATGTTGTTTCCTCATCTTGAAGTGTGTTATCTTCGTCTTTCCCTTCTTCATCATCATCGTCACTTTCAAGCTCATGTGGTCTTGCATGTCTGCGTTTGGCTCTCTCAGATGCCAAACTCCCTTTGTCCTCCCCCTGTTTCACATCTACATGCAAAGAGAGCAACGGACAGAATCAAGCTACAGTCTATATAAATGAGTTCATAAATTGTAAATGAGGGTTAATCGCAATAAAAGCACTCACCAGAGCTTTCATGAGTAGAACACAACACATTTTCTATCTCTTCTGATGTAACAGTATCACCTGCTCTTTTCCTTTTTACCTGCATGATCAAATTGTATTTTATTTATCAAGTCATGCACGCTGGCATATTTCACATCATATAAAGCACAATAGCATACCTTGAATGAAGGCAGTCGAGGTTTTTTGCCCTGGCCACTGATGTGACAGAGGGGATTTATAAGTTTGCTCCTTTCTTCAATACTTGTTGTTGCACTTTTCAAAGGAGAAACGTGTATCTTATGAAAGAAAAACAATAACAATGAACATACTGTTTCTAAAAGGACACATTAATGTATTTATTCATGCTGTTTCATCAACCAATTTATGAGGCGACAGATGAAAGATAAAGAACTTACCTTTACTTTCTTCTCTTGACATACCCACCAGTCCTCAAATGCCTTGAAAGCGACCCCTTCAATCATTCGGCGTGTAATATCCTTCCTAATAATCGACTTCAGTTCATCCATGATGACTTCTAAAACCTTTTCCACCGTGGCCTTATGAGGGTTTTCCCGCACAAGCAGGAAGTCTGGTGGTGGCACAAAGGGGTTAAACCTGGGGAAAGGTGGAAGAGGCCATGGAGGTCGAGGGAAATGCAAAGGAGCGGTTGGAGGATTCCCCTTATCTAAAGTGCCTGGAGGATGAACAGGTAAGGGGTACCTGTGCACAGGAGGTGGGGGTCCAAGGAAGGTTGGTGGTGGAGGAATAGAAGATGGAGGTGGAAAACCGGGAGGAGGAATATAGATGCCGGGGTGATGGCCCCGAGGTGGGATCCAACCCGGAGGTGGGATGGGGATGGTGCCATTAGGCAGGCGAGGTGGGATAGATGAGATAGACGGGGGAAAGGGAGGAAGGGGGAAAGCGAAACGGGTGGCTGGTGGATGGGGGCACCCTGATTTAAAAGCAGGAGGAGCTTTGGATGAGGGGGGTTGAGTGTTGCTATTGAGAGAAAAGGATGGAGGCTGAGGGAGAGGGATCTGTCTGGCTGGTGTTGAAGCTCTGAACGCTCTTTTATTTGAGTAATCCTTATTCGAGTAATCCTTATTCGAATGACGCTCCTAAGACACAAAATAATTAGTTTAAGTCGTTTTCAGGACTCTAAAATAAAACGTAGATACCACAACGTTAACTGCTACCACTTTTGATAGTAAAATGCCTAGTTTAAACAAAACAGGAATTATCATGTAAACAAATTCACACGATGTTGATTTTCTTAAATGATCATGAACTTATCTTTTAGGACATTATTTTCCATTATGACCTTGTTTAAGAATGTTTGAGGAGTAATTACCTTTGAACGTGAGAATAACTGCAACCTTTCTGCCTGTTTTTCGTGGTTTATGTGAGCCCTCCTTTCAAAACGTGTGAAATCAGACGGAGGCTGAGAGTCTCTTGTTAGAAACAAAACAGCTTGAGTGGTTTCATCTGGCTCATCTTCAATGAGGTCATTGAAGGAGCGCTGATCTATCGTTGTGAAGTCACATGAAGTTGGAGTGCGAACAGGTGAGTCATCTGAGAAAGGGGAGGCGTTAGGGGAGCAAGGTGAGGTTGGGCTGTCCTGAGAGTGAACATCAGCCTCCAAAGAGTTTCTATAGAAGTAGGACGGGTCAGTACTCTGGCTGTTTATCAGCAAACTCTCAATACGAGAGTCCAAACTCTCCACCTCAGGCCTGGGGCTTGAAGAAGAGTTACCAGCACTTTGGGGTAGTTCTGTAATGTGTGCATGGTCATCAGATGGAAAGGAAGCTGCTGTCTGATATTCAGATGTGAAATTAATGCTCAGGATACTTAAAGAGTTGGAGCTTCTATCAAAATCCTTAGAGGTAGCAGTGACCACAGCTCTGGACTCCTGACTGGGAGACTTAAAGTTAAAGGAAGCATTACTGTGATTGGAGGATTGTGCATTGTGCCCCCACAGTGCTAACTCTTGGCTGCTAGATTCTTTTGTGGTAGAATAAGATTCTGCTAGCTGGGGTTGGCATTGCCTCAAAATGAAGTTCACATCTGAGACTTCGCCAGATCCTCTGCAATACCTCTCAGTCTTACGACGCCAGAGCTCTCGTCTTAAAAGTGTGTGATCACTAAAGGTGGAGGGCTCCCCCTGGGGGACTGGAGTCGCCTGAAGACTGGAGTAGCAGGAGTCCTGGGACAGAGGAGTGGCAGACAGGCACTGGGAATGTGGTGTTAGCCTGAAGCTGCAAGGTGTATCCTGCCAAATACTGGAGTAGGCTGTGTCCAGAGAGAGGGGGGTGGCGATGCTGGTGGGACTGGAGATGCTCAGATGTGTCTGTGTGGCTGCGCTGCTCTGTAAGAGATAACAAGATAACACATGAGATATATTGTCCATAAAAACGTATTAGTTCAACAGCTGGTTTATAAATATTGAATGTATTCGATATTCATAAACCAGAACAAAAATGAAAGCAGACCAAAACATTGATATATCATATTCATTTCATATAAATCCTTTAAAAATATATGTTCACAAAAAGAACATGGAATTATTTTTGATGTATATTAATTAGTATTAATTTAAAGTTTGACATGATTCGTCCCAATTCTCAAGAATGGGTGATATACGATTACTTCACGGTTATAAATGCGTCTGTTGTGTGAGTTGTAGCAAATCAAAAATGGGTTTCATTTTTTTGATTTACTGTCCTGTCGATGAAAACATGCACCTCTTAGTTAAATGACCTCAATTGATGTTGATCTTCTTTGGATGGATGACTGAAAAACTTAGAGGTGTGCTTGAACAGAGCAGAGTTTACCTGCCAAGTTTGGGTGTAGAAAGCAAAAGTATTACATTTAAAACTAATGTGAATTAAAGGTTTGACCACTGGAACTGTATCTTTGGTATCTTGTAAACCTTTGAGGGTTAAGTGCTTTGTGTGTATAGCAGGAAAATAAATACATAAATGAATCAATCATAAGCAGCTTAAACAGTTTACCAGCAAACCCTCGACTAAGCTTTGAATAGCTTGCTCATTGCTGCCCACTGGCAGCGTCCAAGGAGTATAAAGGCCCCGTAAGAGGAGCTGGAGATATCGCGTCCTGTTTTCACCTGAGGAAGGTTGCATATTGTAATTAGTCAACAAACTCAAAGAGATTAAAATGTTTAATTACAATTCATACAAATATGAGGTAGTTCTAAAGTCAGTCGTACCTTTAGGATCAATTTCCACATGAATAACATTTCCCATCACTGAGGTCTGATGGAGGTGCTGGACAGCTTCTTTTGCAGCCCTCACTGTGTCGAAAACGACCTTTGCAATCCCCAAATGCTTCTTGTTCTTAGGATTGTAAAATATTTCCACTTCTTCGATGTCCCCATATTTATTGCACATATTAGTCAAGAACGCCTCCCTCACATTGTCATTCAGCCTGGAAAATGTCACTTCGTTGGGAGGAACGGGGCCAACATACCATTCATCAACCTGAAAGGACATAGGTAAACAAGAGCTCCCATTATTGTCATGTTTACTATTATTATAATAACTATGATGCTCATAATGAAGATTACCTTAAATTTAGAAATCAAAAGGTCAGTCTTGTTGCATTTGCTCCACAGGCGGCAGACACGGGGATCTCTGACTGTCTCTACAGGAAACAGACCTAAATCCTCCACCTGTTGAAGTAAACAACATCCATCAATATAATGTGGGGGGAGAAGTATTACGTTATTTTCATTCAATGAAAGTAGGAGTTGCACACAAAAAAGGACTCTGATACAAGTTAAAGCATTAATAACATTACTTAAATACAAAATAATCTTCAAGTATAAAAGTGTAGTACTACTGTATCAACGCACTGAGATTGGCTCTGGCTGTGTTAATTACTCGTAAATTATACTGTTAGATTATTGATATGAATGCAAGCAGCATTCAAACATTGTAGCTTACTAAGGTAGTCTTGAGCTAATACTCTTCTGCTTTATTTAGAGGTTACTTCATTTGAATAGTTTAACAATTGAATAGTATTTTACAAGAATATTTGTATTAATTTTTCTTAATGTAATCCTAATGTGCAAAGTAACTTAAACAGTAGAATCCAAATGTTAAAATAGAGTAATAAGCACAATAGAGCAATATTTACTTCTAGGTTGAAGTAGAGCAGAGAATTCAAAATATTAATATCGTAAACGTAAGTACGCTTTATAAATTCACTTTAACCCACTTATCTATTTACATGTAGACTCCTGCACTTACTTGGTCACTTACAGTACATTCTCTGCATTATTTAGCTTGTTGTATTTATTTTTTTATTTATCTGAGATACATATAGTTTACTTCATCTGCATTACTTGCACATTGGTCTGCAACATAATATGCACTTTTTTATTCTAATCTATACCACTATAATATGCACTATTTTTATTTAAAGACAATCTACTGTAGCTACGTGCATATGACAATAAAGCCTTTGAATCTTGAATCTTTGATAATAGAAACAAAGGCAATGCTTGTTTGGATCAATAGAGGAAACAGGCGGCTATGTGTAATAGACAACACAAATATATGTATAAATGCTCACGGGTATGTTAAATTGCTGTCCATCGTAACGATACACTTTGTACAGTCCATTCGTCGATGCAGGGTCAATAATCAACTTGCAGCTTCTCCAGAACTGAGGCGGTGTCTCTCTCTCAGAAGTTTGTTTTTCGCTTTCCATTACATTCGTCAAAACCTGGAAATAAAAGATTATAAACACCGTATCTTTTAGCATGATAAACAGAGCTGCTTACATCAGTCCGCCACTGGAGCTTAACACGCCCCAACAGGTGATGGAGAGCATCACCTGTAACGTTATCCTTCTCAAACAGATTGTGAAATGAAACGTGATCAAATACTCAAAGTTAAGTCGACCAATAATATGCTTTATCTCGCTTACCTGTAACTACAAAGGTTATATCCTTTGTTGGAGCAACATTGTGGAAAAGCTGTTGGGATCTTCGGTTGTTTTTACAGTTCGTCGCCCAGGTGGATAGAAGATCAATCCGCCAGGAGACAGAGACGGAATATAGATCCATCGGTGAGGCGGAAGGATTTAGATGGGTTGAAGGTGTGAACAGGTGTGAGGTGTGTTTCTATAAACCTTAATAATACATGTTTATAATTATAATATGTATTAATAAGTTATGAATACAGCCTATGACTTACTAACAATCAAACACAAATCGAATAATATGACAAAATGTAAAAAGTTTATGTAAAATATAAATGTTAATCAGATGTAAATCAGGGGACTCCGAATAGAGCATGATAAATGGATCATTCATTTAAAGTTTAAAGAAAGTATTGAGTATTAAACATTGTCAGTGTAATGGCATTAATAATCCAGTTATAAAACATAATTACAGAGATGTTATTGTGAAAATGTATAACTGATCCTACAATAATAAGAAAGAGCATAAATAAATAAAAAGTTTTTACAAGCATTCTTATTCATTGTATTCTTATCTTGTTTGTATTGCTTGATTGTGCTTTTCCTCAAGTATGCAAAGCTTCTTTGGTAATGATGACTAGGGCTATATAAATCTGATGTATTATTTCTGACTTTTTTTAATAGTGACTATTAATGTGTAATCATTGGATATAACAAATATTTGTTTCACAATCTTTTTTTGGGAGTAAACTCTATTGTAACAGGGAGAAGAGAACAGAAGAAGGAACGTCGGGTTGGAAAATTTACGCTGTGCTATATTTAGCACAGGCGAATGCAGGGAAGATGTGGACTACTTGTTCAGAGAAACAACAAAACGTGCACTAATAGAGAAAGGATTGTCGGAAAAAGTCAGCAAGCGGAGGAGTTTGTGTGCTTTGTTATAATGCAGTCATGCTTTGACTGAGTGACAGCTATCTCAAACTGTGTGCACACTTCCTGTGTGGTTTTCCTTTTGGTTTTTCATAGACCAAAATACCATTTATGCAATACATGTCTAGTTTTCCTTGTTTGTTTTATCCAGGCATTTTTGTAAATGTAAAAAACTGTATTAAAAAAATTAAAACAAAACTCAAATTATCGCAGATGTGTTTTATTCCCGAACCGGCAACAAAAACAAAGTCCTGCTGACTCAAGTTTAAAACACCAGATATATGCAAAACTTACAATTCAGTTATTTGCTGAAAGAAAAAAATCCCTTTAAAAGCTGTGCATCGACACAAACAGTGGAACCTCTCTATATACATTAATATGGATTAAATAAATAAACCAGCAAAATGACCCACAGAAGAAAATGCCTTCATTTGCATTGATCTGTGGTAATTCCTTTCAGAAGTGTCCAGAGAGTGTGAGGTTATCTGGATAAAACCTTCTTTATATATTTCTTCGTGTGAAAATAAACATCAACAGTGATCTTTAGAAAGGTAACAACCAATTTTCTAAACGTGTGTGTTAGTGATTGAACCCCTTTTGGATTCTAGCTCTCTGGTTTGTGTCACGAAGATATTATTATCAGGTGGAAACAATTTCAATGCAAATATTGGGCGCTAGTGATCTACAGAAACATAACTCAGCACAAACCATGTTTAGATAAATGACCAGAGTTACCTTGGTATAATATCAGTATTTTACAGTTGAGCAATAGTATTATGAACAAAATGAATTGTCGTCCAGCAGCTAAAAATATTTGCATATTTCTTCATTTAAGCACTTACTGTGTTTTTGTACCAGCGTTACAGTAGATATAAAGAAGAGTATAGAAAATTGTCAAACCCATGTAAAACTATTCAACAATGTGCCACAGGACAAAGACACCACACGCTAATTCACACAACCTGTGAACACACAAGTTTGTAAACTATTAAAAGTAAAAAACATACAAACTCTAAAACAACAGTTCCAATATGTGCATGCTTTGTAACAATACATTCAACAATACTTTTAAAGCTAGTTACCATTTATGGATAACAGTATGTTCACAAAAGCAGCAGGAAATCAAGAAAACTCATCATATTTTGTACCCTACATTTATTCTGCTATTTATTGTGCTATAGAAATATGTGTAATGCAATAACACCCTTTATTCAGAAGTGGAAATTTGGCTCAGATTACACACAAATACTGTTGGGTTGATTTATACTGTAACTATTTGTTTTGTAAAAGATCTTAACTGCTTTTTGCTCAAATCTTAAGACTCCAATGCAAACTGATTTTCGAAGCTAGTTTAGCAAATTGTAACATGTACATTGTTCAAGACTAAAACATGTAGTAAAGTTCCTACACGATTCTTATGCATGTATTGTATTATATGATTATACTTACTCATTAAACAACCAATTAGTCCAATGAGTATGAATGTTTGTATATAAAAAACGTTTTAAAACATGCAAGTTGTTCCATAATTTCGGTTTTAAAGCATGTATACAGTGATTCAAATCAAACTGATATTTCAGTCAGATAACTCAAACCTTGATTTTGAACGTCTGCATTGAAAATAAAGGTCTGGTAATGCTCTCTACAAAGCCTAATTTAAAGCCAGACAAATGTGAGAACATGTGAAATCAATGCAACCCACCATGGGACGATATAAAGGCCACAGGTGCATGCAGCAGTGGTGGTGAGTCACTAGTGTGTCTGCCCGCAGCAGCACAGATTAAACCGTGGCAGCTCAAATAGACCATTAAAAGGAGCAGGACTATCATTTTATACCAGGCTTCAACAAAGAATTTTGTTTTACATGAATATTGAAAGAAAAGTGGCAAGGTTCAAGAGGTTCGATCCCATTCCCTGCTGTCAACATGTCTTTGGGCAAGATACTTCACCCTGAAATGCTCCTGTAGGCATGTCTACAGTACTGAAGTGCTTGTATGTTGCTTTGGACAAAAGCGTCAACTAAACGTTAGGGCATATAAAAACAAGGAAGTACACCTTTAATTTGTGCACAGTTATACATAACAAATAAAGCTTTTATAAGAGAATTTCACAATAAAGGCATTGTTGAATGTCTGCTGCTGTAGCGTGCTTACTGGCTATAATCAAGGATAGTGGATAGTGGCCTTCAGGTCGTCGTTCTCACCCCGATGGTCCAGCTGGCTCTGGAGCTGGATGACCTGCTCCAGCTCTTTGATCTGCCGGTCCGTTTTGTGACTGACCAGAGTGCGGTAAAAGTGGACGGCGAACATGATAAAAACGAGTCCAAACGGCACCATGATGCAGGTGGAAGCGATGGCTGCAGCCTGCCCTGAACTTATAGTGCTGTTCTGCTCGTCAAGGCTTCTGAGGGGTAAGAACTTCACCCAGCACAAGAGCATCACCTCTGTGAGGAAGAGGAGGGTGCCGATGACTGTGGAGAAAGCCCAGGCCAACTCTATGTGGCGATGCATGCGCTCGTGGGGAGACTCGTGGACGGAGTTGAGGTTGTGAACATTGCTGACAGCCTCGAGATTCGGGAGGATGCAAGTGCTGACCATGAGGGCGAAGAGGTGGACTGCAACCAGGACTGTGGTGCAGGCACTGAAGGCTATCAGCAGCCCCGGGGGGTACTTAAATTCTCGCTCCAGCTGTACCTCCACCATGGCAACCTTGGAAAATCATACAAGAACAATTTATCTTCTCCAATTGATATCTTCATCAGTGAGTAACACAATAGACATGGCTATCAGTTATATTACTCTACATGTTTTACATAAAAAGTCTAACATAGACAACTCTAACCACTGCTTTCTCTTCCCACACAGCAAAGACAGACAGCTGCGTATGTGGATAGAATATAATGTAAAATACAAGTATTTTTAGATGTTGTTCTTGTTCTGAATTGGACCTATTAGTAGTGTGTGGACAAAAGAGTAAACGCAGACTTTACAATAAAGCAGTGTTTCTCAAACTTTTTCATACCAAGGACCACTTAACCAATTAAAAAACACTCGCAGACCACCTAACTCCACAAATATCCAAAAAACACATCGTTTTCTAGAACAGATTACAAATCGCCTGAAAATGGTACAAACAAGTGGCAACATGTGTGACGAAGGTGTTGTGCTGGGCTATATCATGCAATTGAAAGTGAAACTTAAGCTCGCTCCATTGCGGAGATATTCCCGCGAGAGCGCGGGAAACTTAGATTAATTAATTTAAAATGTGAAATGTTACCAATATACTCACGGACCACTAGGGGGCGCTCACGGACAACAAGAGCAGGACAACTAAGTAACTGTAACTGCATTGCTTAAATACAGATTTGTAAATCAATCATACCATTATACGAGCCACATATAAGCTGAAGAGGAGCATGGGTTATAGTTGTATGCAGTATTGATGTAGCTTGAGACAAATTTACATTTTATAAAACAAATGTACATTTTATAAAACAGAACTACATTAGCAAAACACTTTTGCCAAAGAAAATACAATTTAACATTAACAAATGTCGAAACACTTTAACATTTCCTGAAACACTTTAACAAACTAGAGAATCAAACCGGAAAGGGAATGCCCATCATACCAGAAGTGACGTGCAAGTGATTAACACAAACTTACGTTTGTTTTGGCGGATAGACCGCCGGTACCTATGGACCTTTATGGTCGTTAAACATGTTTTGTCCGTTCTGTGGAAACCACCTGGGCCACGTGACACGGTTTTGCTCATCGCGATATACTTCCTCTTGCGCAAGGGATACGTTCTCGTGCACACAAGAAAGTTACAGGTTCGCCAAGTAGGAAGTGGAGCTGTGACTTTTACACACAGCATTCGCTGTGTTGACCTTCATTAGACAGCTAAAGAGCGACTACAGGCTGCTTCGTTATAGCCACACACACCTCTACACACACCTACACACACCTCTATACACACACACGTCCTGGTGACCGGACATCTCCTCCTTCATAAATAGAATAATAAGGCGTAATAATCGGGCAGTTCGATATGTGTGTGTGTGTGTGTGTGTGTGTGTGTGTGTGTGTGTGTGTGTGTGTGTGTGTGTGTGTGTCACTGGCATTTGTTTTCAGAAGATATTAAGATACTGTCGTCCGTTCCGGTACTGCGGTCAACTCAATCGGGCCTTTACGGTAATCGCCGAGAAGCGGCCCTGACGCTAGTAGTACAAGAGTAAAATAATGCATGTTTTTTCTGCTTTATTTGCGATACAAATAATTTGTACCATAAGTTCTTAATAAAACTGACACTGTTTGACTCAGTCCTAGTTTGACTGCTACCAACAATAAAATGCTACTGGAGCCTCGCAGATGGGGCTGCTGCAGCCCCCTCAGCACCCGCCCCCCTTCCCGCGTCCATTCGCGATGTCTCGCTGGCCGTTTCTCAATCGCGAGTACACATGCTGCAGAGCAACTATTTCAAGTATACTACGTCATCGAGGGGCGCCGAAGGACTGTTTAAATGCCCAGCATTCTGCGCCACTCTATGACGTAATATACTTGAAATAGATGTGTGTGTGTGTGTGTGTGTGTGTGTGTGTGTGTGTGTGTGTGTGTGTGTGTGTGTGTGTGTGTGTGTGTGTGTGTGGAGGTGTGTGTGGCTATAACGAAGCAGCCTGTAGTCGCTCTTTAGCTGTCTAATGAAGGTCAACACATAGCGAAGGCTGTGTGTAAAAGGCACAGCTCCAATTCCTACTTGGCGAACCTGTAACTTTCTTGTGTGCACGAGAACGTATATCGTGATGAGCAAAACCATATCACGTGGCCCAGGTGGTTTCCACAGAACGGACAAAACATGTGTAACGACCATAAAGGTCCATAGGTACCGGCGGGCTATCCGCCAAAACAAACTTAAGTTTGTGTCAATCACTTGCACGTCACTTCTGGTATGATGGGCATTCCCTTTCCGGTTTGATTCTCTAGTTTGTTAAAGTGTTTCGGCAAATGTTAAAAGTGTTTCGACACTTTAACCGTAGAGACAAATGTGTCTCTAGCTTTGTAAAAGTGTTTTGCATCTCGTTAATTTGTTTTTGTTAAATCGTATTTTCTTTGGTAAAAGTGTTTTGCTAATGTAATTTTGTTTTATAAAATGTAAATTTGTTTTATAAAATGTAAATTTGTCTCAAGCTTTGATAAAGTGTTTCACATTTTGTAATTGTCGATTGCACCTATCAGCCACCGAAGTGTAAGGATATAAAATGAAAGTATTCCTAAAATTGGAATTACAAAAATGTAAGCAAGTGCAAGGGGTATTATATATCTTACCTCCCCATTAATACATTTTAGAAACAAGTATGGCTACTTGTCCACTTGTGTTACCTAAATAAGCTAACAATGCAAGCTTATGTTAACTTGGTGTTTTCTGTCAATTGAAAACCAAAGGAACAAAGACATTTAAACAACATGGGTGAGTGCTTGTAGTGCTGCTATGCGCAGGGCCGGCCCGTAGCGCTGGCGTTATAGATGTTCGCCTAGGGCGCCAGATCTGGGGAGGCGCTGAGCTGGTAGTTCTGGGAGGGGAAAAAACATTTGTGACCGTTGGTGCTCATCCTAATTTTTGGCTTTGATGTAACAATATTCATAATTAAGCAAATGTAACACCCTTTAAACCCCGGTTACACGTTTCGATTGCCCTGTACGATGGGCGCTGTAAGTGATGAAAATGGGGAATGTTGGCATATCTGGCGGCCGCAGCTCACAGCCAAAGTGCGAGTGAGCGAGGGAGAGAGGGAGGGAGAGAGGGAGAGAGGGAGGGAGAGAGGGAGAGAGGGAGGGAGGGAGAGAGGAAGCCGGCCCTGGCTATGCGGTCTACTTGTTGTGGCGGAAGGTTATCCCGCACTGGTATGTTGGCAAGCACAGTGGAGTTTACATAAAGTGTTTTGTTTATCTTGTTCCGTTATTATCATTCCACTACTGCACCGTGAGATACATCTCGTGCACATGCAGGCAGACGCATCTCGGAGTATATTTTATTAACTTTTAGTTTTTTTACAACACTGTCTGTCATTACGGAAATGATAGATGGAAAATATTAAGGTCTGCAGCCGTCATTAGGCCTTTAAAGTGACAGCCTTTGAAAACAATCATCTGCGTCACATAACGTCCGGCTGTGTGTCTGCAGTACATGCCGATGGCCTAAAGTTGAGTTTGCATTAACGCAGTAATACTCTGTAACAACAATAAGTTAAATCAATGATAACTTACCATTGCGAATCCGGACAAAAGAGCAGAAGTGCGACTCGTGGCTTTTAACTTTGCTCGACTCAAGTACAGTTTTCTCCATGACAGAGCCTGCAAGGAGTGCTCGTTCAAACTCATTCCGAAAAGTTAATGTCCCGGTGAACTTTTACAAATTAAAGATGTCAACCGAAGTGATTTACTGGATGGAAGTCGATGAAGTACACCGACGAAAAACACACGCTGGGAATTTGCTTCAGATGAGGTAAAACATCTAATAAACACTAGATAGTACAGAAAGCTATCAAACTATGTCAAAACTTTCCTGCAACAGCTGACCGACTGTCAGGGTCTATCAGGAAACACAAGATACCCACAATCCACTGCGGTAGTCCGCCTCCTTGCGTCAGAAATTCATAATGGAGCTCTTGTTTTGTCTTTTTCTTTAAGATAACATCTTTTTGTATCATAAACCCATCCGCTCATCTGCTTTTCTGTATATTTTAGTGGCATGTGTTTTTCTTTCCTTTTTCCACTCATTATTCATTTCATAAAACATGGACACATTAACAGCATGTGTATACAAAGCTATGAAAGCCCATTTCCGCCATAGACTGTACACTGCGATGAAAAACAGATCTTCAAAAAAAGTATTTATGGCTTATAGCCAGGCGTCATTTTCGCTGGGGACATGTCACCACCACTTTTTGAAACGGATAATTTTGGCCCCATTACAAATGTTCTGAAAAATAGCGTTCACAAATAAATGTAATAATTTAAAGAACACTGGTTTAGTGTCAAGATGTGCAATTTGGACATGTTAGTCAACTTTAATAGAAAATGTTTTTAAAAAACGTTCCTCCTTACTCTACTGATTGAAGTAAATGTTGTCTTCTTGCTTTATTTTCTAGTTAAAGAGTAGCAGAATGCGCAGTTTACATGAAACAGAAAATATGTGTCCCCATTTACAAAACAAAATTGTAATTGTTATTGTTGCAAAAAAAAATTAATAGAGGAAGAGCTTGTGTCTTTGATTCAGAAGGTGGTTGGTTCAATCCCAGCCATGCAGTTATCATGTTGATTTGTATTGTGCTGCTTGTTACATTTGTGCGTGTTCTCACATAGTATCGTGGAGAAGAGCTTCAAATCTGAGGTCTCAAACCTGTTAAAAATACGAACCCTTACACTCCTGTTGCTGAGTTTTAGGTAGTAGCTAAGCCTTTAAGCAAATAGAGTATGATGCATTAGGACTGTGACACTCTCTTTTTTTAATAATAGATTTAGGTTATGAGTCATTTACTGATGTGTTGTGCTTGCTGCCCTCAGGTGGTGGAGGGCTGCTATGCTACACCCTCTATTCATTCCACATTGGTCAGATGTGTGAATTCAACACTGCAAAAATCCTCACAAACACAAGTGACGGATTATTTAAACTTTCTCCTGTGCTGCAGCAGCATCACAACACAAATAAGTCACTATTGTGAGATACAATGTAATACAATTGAGAACGTTTTTTTCTTATTTTTAGAAACCAAGTCATCGTTTTTTAAATAGCCTACTAGGTTAAATTACTTTTTTGATTATTATTTTTGGAAAAAACTAATATCGAGTAATTGTTGTATTTACATACAATTTTTCTTTGCACTTTTTTCTTGAACTTTTTAATGTATTTTCATTTTTTTGTATCTGCTCCATTGTTGAAGGAGCCAGAGACTAAAGGTTTTGCCAAAACTAAGCTATAGCTCTTGTATAGAAATGGGCGTCACTTTGTTCGAAAAAGTGTGGGGACATTTTCTCCAGATTTAACATCAGCATAGCAGAAGACAAAATATGTCCTTCTCCTGGGTGTTGAACCATGAGCACCTGCATGATAATCCAACGCATAGACCTCTGGACCACCAGACCACCAATGTGTTTTAAAATGTTGAAGACCCAACTATAGGTCTTGCTGTGATGTGAATTTGTAGGTATGGAGGACAGAACATGACATAAGTAAAACAACATGAATAAATACAGGAATAAATAAATACAAGACTAAATAAATGTGAAAGAAACCCATAAATAAATAAATGTGGAAATAAATACACAAATAAATAAATACAAGAAAACATTTATAAATATGGAAATAAATGAATAAATATTTTCACTTACAAATGAACTTTGATTGACTTGAGTTTGGCACGATTCAGAGGCCTCAATAGCCAGATATAAATGTGTATTAGCGTCAAAAATTGTGTTGCTATTAAGTAGATCTTCAATCTGTTTGCAGTACACCTGCTGTTGAATAAAAACATGTATAAACTATATTAATGTCCATTGGTAATAAAAAAACTAAACTTTGTAAACAGAAAACACAACAAATTGTGAATGAATGATAAATAGTTTATTGCAATAAAAACAGCATTCATCGGAATGTAGTAGCATATCCTTATTTCTGAGAGACAATTAAAATGTGTCAAAGTTATATAACCTAGGTAAAATAATACAAAACCAGTGTTGAGAACTTCCCTGGTGTTGGATCAGTAGAATACATTACTAAATTCACAGTGAAATCAAAATACACAGTCAAATAATGCCAAATATATCTGCCAATATCTAATATTGCATGAATTTGTCCACCACTTCATGCTACCACTGGATGATGCCAAAGAGAGACGTTTATCTATATATATAATGGCCTCACATGATTATTATATCACCATCTTTATATCATACAGTCTAAGCCATGTGGTGTTTGTATGGAGCTCTACCCTATATATCTATAGGGTCTAATATAAAGCAATATGTGTAGGTGAAATGGCCAGCTTTCCCTTTGAATTAATGTAAGACATCAGATCAACATAGCCAGTAGTAATGTAAACGTTTAATACATAAATAGTCCCTCAAATAAGGGGAAACTAAATGTATTGGGCAGATTAACCAAATGATCATATAAAATCATATAGCAAATGTTGAACAATAAAACGATGTTGACACTTACAATGTGATATATTTAATCAGGTTGTGCTGATTATATGAGGTTAATTACTTTACCTGTCAAAAACCATTTCATTGTTTGGTCATTAAGCTACAACATTTAGGAAATTGTAATCATCATTACTAACACCAAACCTATAATACATAATGGTAAATAAACTATTTCGAATGCCTTATTTTTACCGGTATAGCTAGACTCACACATCCCGCAAAAACCAGTAGAAGCGAAGACGGAGGTGTGTGGGAGTGAATCATCTTGTGTTGCCTGCTGATCTCCATTTCCTGTTGCATTGATGCTGCTGTCACGTCGCTCGTTTATCATCATTGCGAGATGCCATGCAGCGTCAAAATATGCATATCTTACTTATATTACTTTATAATCACTATTTTACATTCCCAACATGTGTTCAATCACTTTAGTCTGCCTTCTAATTTTCAACCGCCTGTTTTTCGCTAACCAGAATGCTGTTAGCTAAGTAGGAAGCCGGTGTTCCCCACGTTTCCCATGGTTCCTGAACGCAGCACAGTGAACATTGCTAGCAGCTGCCTGTTTGAGGGAGGGGTGAATGAGTTGAGCTGCAGGAAGCTTGTTCAGCCATGTTAGTTTTCTCTGGTGTTCACAAACGATGAGAGAGAGGAGCCATGGCCTTGTCACTGAGCGGAGACGATGAGGAATATGATTCAGAGTCTGAGCAGGTCAGAGCTCCCACATTTCATTATGTCACCTCCGTTTGTATACGTGTGTGTTTTTGTCAAAACGTGTGGTGAGAGAGAAAGGTTTTTGCGAGTGTAAATGTGTTTTCTTCTGTGGCTTCAGGTTACCCGCTGTTTTCCTCAGTATCGAGTTGAAATGTGTCCTTTTATAACCTTTCTACAGTCATACGGTTTAATACTCAGTTAATGTTATGTAAACATGGTTAAATAGAGTCGGGCTGCTTATTGGGATTTATACCCTGTCTGTCCACACATACACACACAGCGTGTCCTCTCCTCCTTGGACAACATCACGTTAGCCATAACTGACCCATTTTGTACTGACCACCTCTTAATACAGAGTTTCATCCTCTTATGTTATACACGTGTGGACAAAATCTTCCATCCATCTGAAAAGCCTTGCATGTACACGCTGTGATTTACACAATGTACTCTAATCCCACATGTCCGGTTAGGGAAAAAAATGCATACTTGTGATTGATTTCCTCACACTTCCTAAAGTTACCCCTCTCACTCTGTGCCTTTAAGAAGGCTTTATGCTCAATGTTGTCTAGCAGAGGCGGGGGATGGGGTGAGGGAACAATGAAGGGGCTCTGCTACTTCTGTTGTGGTTCCCAAACTGGGGTCCAGTGACCCCTCAAACCCCTGGCTGGAATAATGGTTTGACTTAAACTGTTGTTGTTTTTTAGGCCACTTGTTTTGCACCAGGAGGAGGAAAACACAGCACTGGGGTTTTTTTAATCAGATATTACACTCTGTTTTCTGAGGTTCTTTAGGAGAAAGTTTTTATTTGTTGGCCTGTCATAACAACTACTTTTGTTGCAGGATATATTGCCACTGATATAATTTCGATAAACAGAATTATTGCCATTTTAAGACTATCTTATGACAATTATATAATAACATAATAAAGCAAGTACACTCTTTCACATAGCATGAACTTTTATTTCTCATATATTTAGACATCCTATTGAGAGAATACATAATATCCTATATAAATAAAGCATGAATAATTAATACTACACAACTAAAACAATACATGTAATGCACTCTGCTTGCTCTGTTACAGAAACATGCACTTAAACAATATTAAATAGATGGCACATGGGGGAATAGAGAGCAACACTGAGGTCTTATAATGAAAGGGGAAACCCTGGTGTTTATTCTGGCATCATGTGCGTTCAAATATTGCTGACATTTTTAGGGTAATCAAACTTAAAAACAACAGCCAATGATGAGGTCAGCAAAAATAAATGAGAATATTCAATTGTATTGTACGAGAATGTTATTATTGCGACATGCCTATTCATTTGTGGTAGGAAGTGTGTGTGTCATTTGGGCATGAATGCTTTCTAACAGTGATATTACACTAGTCTCCATTAGACACTTGGCCTTCACAACGGAGCAGAAATATGAGAGGTGCTGACATAAGAGCCAGGTCCTGCTGCTTACACAATGTTTACACATACAGCACCCAATAACAGCTCTTCAGTGGCGGTGTTTTGGTGTTGAAGAAAGCCACACTCACTTTTTGTTTTGTTTTGAGGACAACCAATAGATGAGCCTTGTGACGGATTTCCTCTGAAATCCATGTTGAAGCTGAGTCACAAAACCACGCTCACACAAGAATACAAGCCATGTTTTTTCTTCCCACACTTCAGGAAGCAATCCCAAATTCCTGACAT